GACGTTATAAGAAAGCAGTCCTCGGTTGCAGCTTGAAGGTTATTCTGTCTCTCGTGTCCGGGTTGTCACTTTCTAAAATTGGTGGAGGGGGAGGGGGGCTGCGCTGATGAAGCCGGTCTGACTTACCTCATATCCTAATGCCACCCCGGATTTCGGTCACTTTGATTTACGTCCCAACAACCTAGATGAAATTTGTATTCATATTTTTAATTCATAAATATTTTATTACTTTTTCCAGCAAGCCGATGACATTCGATTCCCCTTCCAAACACTTCATCGTCAAATCTCGGAATTCTTGATCCATCATCATAGCGCGAAGCAGCGCATTTGTTTGTATTTTCATGACCGTGGCACTGGTTCAGTCCCACGCCGTGATGGTCAATTATCCTAGCCCATACAATACTGGTTCAGTCCCACGCCGTGATGGTCAATTATCCTAGCCCATGCAACAACCCGCTGGCTGGGACGGTGAGGCGTCTCGTGGCTGTCAACAGTCTGTACAGCAGAGGCATCACGTGCTGCGCCTCATTCATTCAGACGGACCCCGGCGAAGCAGCCATAAACACACCGCGACCCTCTCCCTTGAGTGGAGTCGGCTGTGCACGCGCGCCGAGGGGAGGGGGGGGGGGGTGGAGGGTTGCGAATGACCCGAGGTCAACACCTTCAGAGCTGCGCGTGGACTGAGGATGGGCGGGGAGGGGGGGTAGCCGCCCCCCCCCCCCCAGGCCGCGTCATGGTGCTTAAAACCCGACCGTTGTTTTTTCATTTTTGGTGCCGTTTCGGTATCGGTTAAGTTCAAAGCGAAAATAGGCGATATAATTTCGTTTCTTTTTCAACATGGGAGCTCTCAACTCATACCAGTACCCGATGCGACAACCGATTCCTTTTGTGTAGGGCTCACGGTTTCGTTAGTTGGGGGACGATTTTATTTAGAATGCAGGATATTCGAACAAGTGCTGAACTTTGGCGAATGTTTGAATACCGCTATCAATATTCAAATATTCGAGAACATTGCGGGCATTGGTGAAAGAGTTCAGATATACGCCAAAGTACGCTCAGTTTCATTGGATCTAATGAATGAGTGTTCCAACTTTAACGGTGGTCTTTGAGTGTCTAGCTTAAAGAGTGGTTCAAGTTGAAGAGTGGTCTCTAGCACAAGGAGAGAAGCACGATTCCTGACGGCTGCTTTTCACTCGTAGCTTATGCATGAACAGCAGCGAAGTCGCCATTAGTTCAACGTGATTTCGACCGACCTGCATAATTTACTGCTCGCTCGCGTGGTTTACTGCTCATTTGCACAGTTTACTGCTCAATTTACGTGAAAATGACGAATTCCCAGTGTCGGCTTTCATCAAAGACCGTTCTCCTTGACCAGACACGTTCTCAAGCTGCACCGTAGTTTGCAGCACACATTTACGTGTCAAGGCCGCTGTAAATGCAGCTGAACAGGAATCTGACGATTACTATAAAAAATCGACCGTTCGAACACAACATTGGAATGCAGCCGTTTGAGCATTCCAGCACCGGTATAAGACCGCATGTCCTGCGCTAGTGCTGTGCCTGCGATCCCCCGCAACTTAGCGCGGGACCTTTCGAATCCATCGTAAGACCCTCAACGCCGAATGAGCTTATATTCTGTGTCCGTGCCTGTTTGACAGAGCTGTTGGGCTGGTCACGGAGGCAGACAAAGACCCCCACGAATATCTGGCGGACTTAAGTGAGGCGGGCACAAGCCGGTTAGCAACCCGCTGCCAGTTATGTAAAGCGCACAATTACGTAAGCTCATGAATGGGTCGCTCCTCCCCCCCCCCCCCCCTCTCTCTCTCCCGCCTGGGGCACGCACGCCGCGCGGTGCTTAGCTCTCTTCGCTCGGAGCCAGCGGACTGAGAACTCCGTGCCCGCACGCGCACTCATTCACCCTCGCTGCCGTCGGGTCAGGGATGGCGGGTGTGGTGCAGACCGGCGCGAAATGTGGTTCGACTGCCGCTCTGCTCATGACGACCGGCGGGGCTGCGAGCCAGCCAGACCGGTCTTACCTGGTCTGCTCTCATCAGAAGTGGATCGTCGCTCAGCCTGCCCTGGCCCGTCTGCAGCGCGCGGCTCTTCCAAAGCAACGTCCATGCCGCGCCATCTCCGAATGTTCGCGTTTTCTCCAGTAGATACTACCTATGAGCGTCACGTTAGAAATGTGTGTTTACGACGATTACCTGTATATAATCATGCTGAACGGGCTGGAGGGTTTCCCTGCAAGGTTGCAATGCGGCTCTTTTGAATTTCAATTCAGACATTGTGTAACAACTGTGCTGGAAGGTCCCCAGTGGTTAGGGCCACTAAATTTGCAATGGAAAACGACTGCGTACAAGGCCATGTATTTCTGTGGAACAATTCACCGACAGCAACTCGTGGCAGAAGCCTACAGGCCGGCTGATCCTTGGCTCCACCCCAATTTGAACAGAGGAAACAACAACCCCCTCCCCCTCCCCCCTCCCCCAGCTGCCAGGAAGTTTTGCGACACGTCCACGTGTGAAGGAGATGATAAAAGTTGATGTGACAAAGCCGAGGGGACGGGCATCGTTCCATGGCTTGAGGTTTTGATTGGATTAGTTTCTACAGAAGTCGGTGTGGGCGTCGCCATGCCTGCCGCATCGCATTTTCCACCCATGAGGTCCTGAATGGTGCTACATGATACAAAAAACATCTCAAAAGCCTCCATATACCCTCCCCCCCCCCAAGTTTTGGACGCACGAGGTCGGTCTTCCCAGCTGACGTCACGAGAGATCGATTAGAGTGCCGGCACCAGCCCGGGACGACGATATGTGACATCCTGGGCCCGGCTCCAACACAATCACCCCATACTTGGCCCGACGAGGGTCATGGGCGGGCGATCCACCGCCAGCGGAGCAGAGGGCTGAGCAGGCAGGCCAGCGCTGGCCCTTCAAATGTGCATCGCTGTTCCGAAAATGCGCTCTGCTGACCTGAAGTATGTGTGTCTGGATTTGGATCTGCAGGCCATGTTTGGATACAGATACAGTCAACGACTGGTGGATGTTTATCAGGAGCTCTGTCGCAACGGAAAACGATCCGAAAATAACATAAGCTCGTAATTTTGAAATGTGTATGGCAGTGCCTGACCACAACACTATGCTTTTATGACGTTAATATGTTCCAGCAGGTCTCATCCTAAACTCATTACTTAAGCAGTATTGTTTATGATCACCATCCCTCATTCCTTTAACAAGGACCGTCTGTCATTTCAGTGCATCTACTCGGTGGGTCGACGCTACCTGAATGAGACCATGCTGACAGGTAAAGCAACTGCGGCGCGAAAATCGTTGGGAATTTCCCGGCAAGTTGAACCGGGTATTGAACCGTTGAAAATGTTCGGCGTGCCTGCGGGTAATAAGGACAATGGTCCTGTGACAGCTGCCGTCCCAACTGGGAATGAATTTCAAATCACTGTATGCAGAATAAAAAACGGTAATCTCAAATGGTCATGAATCATAAATCAAACTGCAATCTCAAATCATGAATCGAAATATGTTCCAGCAGGATCAAGTTTCCGTCCATATGACTTTGATCGCTGTCAGTTTTATGTTGAACGTCGTGATACGAACGTTCTCTTGCAGTCATAAGAGGCAAATGCGTTTTGTTAAAGAGAATATTTAGGGAAGTAAGTTAAACACAGCTGTTCAGGCATATCAGGCAAACGAAGATGCCTTGATTCTTACCATAAGGTCAGTACCGTATGTCCAAGTGCTTAGTCCTTCTTTTGGCATGCAGTTTCACCGGTTTTGAGATTTGTTTGTTTAATTGTGCATTCATTATTTCAATGAGCATCTTGACAGCACTACAGCACATTGGCTCAGATTCAATTAATAAAGTTATTGATGTTGAGCGAATGCACAAAAGCGTGTTGTGGCCATACACCTCCCACTTAGACCACTAGAGACCACTTCTTTATAAAGAGAAGTTGGGCTACAGGACCTACTAACGAGCGGAGGAATGCGGAGGACGAGTCGGCTGCGGCGAATCTGGCAAATACCTGTTGTGTTTAGAATTTCGTCAATGCGATTGACGTGAATCGACAAAAATTGGATAACTACGCCGTATGCTGATTCTCCGGGCATGTTGCGATCCTTGTGATACAATTTGCATGCTCATTTACTTTTTATTATTTTCTCGTCGTATTTATTCAGGCCGACACAAACTTCCTATGGCCATCTTCTGACAGCCTAAAAGTGGGATTGACGACACTGTATTGATGGAGGCAACGTCCCCGAGCCCTGCCCCGGGCTGCAACCAGCAAATAAATAAACTCCTCACAAGGCCACCGCCACTGCCCGTCTGGTCACAACCTCGCCAGCGGCGCGGCAGGCTCGCCGCCTGTGTCGAGCCTGCTCTGCCAGCCGGCGGCTGTCCCGTCCCGTCTGTTGCCGGGGCGCTTCCGGCGGTCCGTTACGTAACCGGGCCGTGCGGGCGGCGCGACCCGCACCCCCGGCGACGGGCCGACCGGCCGGCCTGATCAGAGGCGCCGCGACGCTCGGCGAACCCTTCGGCCGACGCTTGGGGGGGGGGGGGGGGAGGGGAGGATCAGTTGGCTGTCGTACAGTCGCTTTGTTTGGAATGGTGGCCGTGTCCGTGACGGTGGCATATGTCCGGAGTGTTGCTGTGTGGCGGCCATGTGGTTCTGAGAACGCCAGATATACTTAAAAGCTCCAGTGTGCCAGGGATGTGCCAGAAGGCGCGCAGAACCAACCAAACGGAGGCGCTTCTCCGAAGAAAACCATCAGGCTGCGCGCGTGCATCGCGCTTGAGATGAAACTTCCTAGCACGCTGCCAGGCCCTTCTGTTGCCTGGCAATGGATGGGATTTCCACGAAGCCGAATTGTTTTGCTAATTCATACTCGTGGCAGAACTGGAGCCTGGGTGGCATTCGAGCCCCTCCCCTCCTGTGTTTGAACGTCGGCCGGTCTTCTGCTCGCGATGGGCATGGACGCGGCTCCCTGGCCTGACCTATTTCTTTCTGAGTCGCAGCTGGTTTGTCCGCTAACGTTCATGCTTCTAGTCTTTTCAATGTCGACTCATTGGCGTGCTGTCAATCTATTTAGCGAGTGAAGCAAGCTTTCATCGCGTCGAAGCATGCCACACTCCAGGTGCTCAGCGCAACAGCATTGTGTTGCCGGCGCCGCACCGAAAACAACCAAAACGCATCGTGTAGGCCGACAGATGTTGGGGTAGGTCGAACGACCCTGGGGCTAAAGGCAAGTGGCACCGAGTGATCCAAGGTTTCCTTGTACCAGGATATTCTTCAGATGGCTTTCTTTTGAATACGGCTGGCACGCTTCCTGTCATCTCTCCTTTTGCCCTAATGGTTTTCGTTGTATGTGACGTTTTTCCACAATAGCTTGATGTATGTTTGCAGGTTATGCAACCATGTTATGATGTGTTCCAGAGGCCGAGAATCATCCAAACGTTCACCTGCATTTCCATCACAAGCTCATCCATTCAGACCTGAAGAAGGGCAAGATGGTCTTCGAAAAGTAAGTGGCATGCTATTTGACGTGCTCATCAAGCGCTGCACGGTTATATAGCTTGAGTGGTCCTCCCGTCGGTGGATCCCACTTGTCACATTTACCTTAATGGAAATTTTGGGATCCCCTTTTGTACTTCATTGTTACTTCAGATGTGTACGATTTGAACAGTAATATCAGTTTTTTTCTCGAAATCGTTCTGGATAGCTCAGAATTTCGATTTTAAGTACCCAACCCTGCAGGAAAAATCTCATTTGACTCCCCGTTCACCAGTTTGAAAATAAGACGTTTGATTTGTCTTCCTTTGTGGAACGTTTGTGTCCTGTAGTATTTGCAATACACTAATGCGTTACAATGTTTGTGAACTAAGTGTTACGAAAGCTTGAAACACTGTGAAGACAAAAAGATAGGCGAACGTGAAGGTTTCATCTCATGAATTCAACGAAACTTTATACTATGGCTTTAATTTCTCCCCCAATGGCGCTGACCACATTGGCCTTTTTGGAGGCGTGCTTTGGCTTTGGACATGGGGGCATCACATGAACCATGTGACGCACCGGCTCAAACTTTAACCAGTATGCTTCTCGGTAGCAGGCCCTTGCCCGCTGGGCCAATCACAAATGTTCTTTTGTTCGCTCCATTAGAGGTGCGCACGGTGGTTGTCATGACGATGGCGGTCGCGACTGCAGGGAGGAAGCGTAGTGCGTTAAAAAGCGTTGCCAGTGTGATTTGGACTAAAAACAATTCTTATTATGTCTTGATAGTGCTGCAGTGGTAACACCCAGTGCTTTTACTACACGTAACCAGACCTGAGGTTCCTCCAGAGTATGTTTTTGGAGTATGACCCAAATGTGGGACACTCCCTGCAAAATCCAGTGTTGATGCACGCGACGAACAAAATACGATACACCATAACATGTTGATTACTTCTTAGAAAGGTGACTGCATTGCATCCACCTCATTGGCACAAATTATTGCCTAGTGATAAACATGGTGGTGTCTGCGGGGCGTTTTCTGGTAGCCACTGACTTTGCTGCTTTTACTTGATTTTACTTACCTTCAATCCCAGACCATAGCTAATCACGACAATTAGGGTTAGCTTGAATAATAGCCTTCATTCATAGGTATGTTTTGCTCAGAAGGCTGGTCAGAACAGCAGCATAGAAAATACGTTGCTGTGGTGGGGGGAGGGAGGGGGCTGGCGGGCAGGGCAGGCAGTGAAGGGCTTGCAGTGAACATTTATGTTGCACTTGGTTGCCATTTTTGAAAGCATTTGACAGAACAGCCATTTTAACAATAATGTTGACGCACGGCCAAACCTGACACTTCACACTTTCAGCCCAACTGTCATGTGATATGACAAGAAGGCAAGCGGTTTCACGTGGTTTATTGTATTCGGGCATCGTGTCTGTCAAACCACAAATGAACTGCGACTGCACATTCGCACATGCCACTTACGCCATCCGGACACTGCCCGTGGTCTCTAGAACTCCGATCGCCTTCTTTCCATTTGTGGTCTGGTCTCGAATCCTTCGCTCTTCAAGTAAAAACTGTCAAACGCACTAGTAAGGCGAGTGGGACAAGGAGCTCTCTGGAGCCTCCTGAGGAGCTCTCTGGAGCCTCCTGAGGAGCTCTCGGTATTGAGGCCTACGTATCAACTTGGTCTTTCGACAACTTTAGCCATACGACTTACCGCTAATTCTGCTGCGCCGTACTTCACGACTTTCACCTGCTGTCTCGGTCTTGCATGTTATCAATCGAGCGTGCATGCGTTTGGCTGCATTTTCTTGCGTTTGGTTGTTGATTGTCAGTTGCGTTGCAGTGGCATTTGCACATCTGAACCGAGCGAGTTGTGTCACTTACGCAGCGATAGACGGACTTACGGGCGCGGCATTTAGTCGTCTAGCAGCGGCAGGCGGCGTTCATGGGCATCACGCTCGGGCATCGTACCGAGGCGCCGGGCACACTCGTGCGTGCTGCCAACTAATGTTTCTGCCACGGGCGACCGTCACCGTTAAGATTTTTGGACGAATGTAGCTCCGCTACGAAAAGCTGTGCACCCGCTCTCTTCCAGCCCAAGCTGGGCCTTCCGTGCTCGTTACGACTCCCGCCATCCACAATGACGCTGGCGCACGCGATGTCGACCCGTAATTTGATGTTACGTCATCGGTATTTTTGTGCCGGCAGCGCAGCAGCTTACCTAGACTGCTGAATGCCCTTGCGGCCTTGGTTGATCGATGCAATAGATGGACCTTACATAATTGGTGACTTGTATGCAACTGTGTATTGGACAGCGTGGTGGCATTCTAAAAATCGACGGAAAATTTTCGGGAAGAATCAACGGAAAAATCAAAGGACAAGAATGCGTCGCATAATCACAGTGCCTGTAAGACCGCAACCGTTGCCTATTTTGTACAATCTTGAAAGAATGCACATGGTGGATTGGGCCTCCATGGCAGATGCGCTCGCCTCATGACCACGGTAGCCATGCATTTGGAGACGGGACACACTGCCATGTAAGGGCTGCCGGTGTCGATCCATGCTGCAGCCACTGAGAAGCCGACACTGAGTCTTAATTTGACCCTATAAGATCCAGACGACATACGCTGGTCAGACACCGAAAGGCCCTCCGACGGTGACCTGCGTGCATGACGTAGTTCGGATCGTTCATACCTGTCGCGACATTGAGGTGCCGTGTTGTGGTGCGTAAAGATGTCGTGTGGAATGGACGAGTGATTTGGCCTGGCGTGGCCTGCACGGACCCCGTATACGTTGGTGACCTGTGACCTGTGGTGACCCCTGATGATGAGGCAGTAAAGGTCTGGTGGTACAGACAGGGCCTGTCCCAACCCTGTGGCGACCTCCTGGCATCTCTGGCGACCTTTCGTTTTCTCTGATGCTTTGTGCCGACTTTTTGTGACCCCGCAATAACACTTATGAGGTGCAGGCCTATGGCGACCTTGGGTGACCTCGGGTGACTTGAGCTGGCCATCGACCCGCCGATAACGAGCAGTAACGGCCAGGTTGAGCAGACTTGTGCTGCCGTCTGATGACCTTTTTGACCTGTGTCGACCTCTAATGATCCGCCTTGGACGGGCAGCAACGGCGAGGAGGTGCAGGCGGAGGCTGACCTGGTGCTCGGCTGCGACGGCGCTTACTCGGCCGTCCGGCGCCAGATGATGAAGATGCCCCGCTTCAACTACAGTCAGACCTACATCCCGCACGGCTACATGGAGCTCTGTATCCCGCCCACACAGCACGGCCAGGTAACGCAACCTACACAGCACGATCAGGTAGCGCGGCCCACACAGCACGGCCACGTAAACACAGCACGGCCAGGTAACACAGCCCACGCTGCACGGTCAGGTAACGCAACCTACACAGCACTGTCACTTTTCGTCAGCTCTTTTCCATATTGCCTTCAGAACGTGTCTGTTTTACCTAGCTTGAGGCTGTTGTACCAATGGGTGCCCCGCTTCTCACGTATCAGCTGTCCAGGCCGTTCTTCAAGCAGAACCGTCTCCGTATTGCAGTTCGCCATGGAGCCCAACTACCTGCACATCTGGCCCCGAGGTCAGTTCATGATGATCGCGCTGCCAAATCAGGATAAGTCGTGGACGGTCACGCTCTTCATGCCCTTCGACGTGTTCGACTCGCTCACCAACCCGGACTGTCTGCTCGACTTCTTCCGCGTCCACTACCGCGACGCCATCCCGCTGATCGGCGAGGAGAAACTGATCAAGGACTTCTTCTCCAACCGCGCCTCGTCACTCGTCTCCATCAAGGTGAGGAGGGCTGAGGGCGGAGGCCTGGGGACTGGAGACTGAGAACTGAGGACTAAGGGCTGAGGAATGATGTTTGAGGGCTGAGAACTGCTTTGGGATGAAGGCTTAGAGCTGGGGCTAAGGGCTGAGGACTGAGGACTGAGGACTGACGGTTGGAGACGGAAGGCTGGGGGCTGAGGGCTGAGGACTGACGCCTGGGGACGGAAGGCTGAGGGCTGAGGACTGAGGACTAAGGGCTAAGGGCTGTGGACTGGGGGCTGGGGACGGAGGGCTGGGGCCTGAGGGTTGGGGACAGAGGGCTTGGGGCTGGAGACTGGGGGAGGAGTTAGAGGTGCTCTGTGGCTGGGACCGGGCGTCAAGAATGGGAGATAATCACGTTCGGTCAGTCAATACGTTGTCTGTACTCGCCCGGTCATTGGAAGAACGTCAATATTTTATTTTATTACGCATTGATTGGCGTGGGCATCAGGACCATGATTTACAACATGAAGCATAGGGTAAAATCGGAACACGCAGTCAGCCTCAAATCGCCCTGTCAGAAGGCCGGGGACTGGCATCGCGCCACTGCGCTACGGTCTTGTGCTAAGTGAAACCCTGTGACTTCCGGTCTCGTTTGTTCCTAGGGGCGCCTCTGGGTACACGACCAGACTTTCCGGGTAGTGTTCGCGGTAAACCCTCCCTCCAGTGACGTCACGCGGCGAGCTGTCTGCACACGTCTCGGCTTCCGATCCACCCAGCTGTCTGCGCTGCTGCTGACATCGTGATGCGGCGCGCTGCGCCGGCGGGCGGTGCCCCTGCCAGCCTCCCGAAGCGGCGTGTTTGTTTTTCAGTGCTCGCCGTACCACTCCAGCAAGGGGCTGATCATGGGCGACGCGGCCCATGCCATGGTGCCGTTCTACGGACAGGGAATGAACGCGGTGAGTGATCATGGGCGACGCGGCCCATGCCATGGTGCCGTTCTACGGACAGGGTATGAACGCGGTGAGTGATCATGGGCGACGCGGCCCATGCCATGGTGCCGTTCTACGGACAGGGTATGAACGCGGTGAGTGCCGCCACGGCCGCCTCGAGCAGGGGCGCGCATCAGCCGCGATCGCGACCGCCCGTCAGCAGTAACGCCGTTGATCTGAGCAGCCCCTCAGCGCCCGGCGCGGCGCAATGGCTGATGGTGCGCGGCGCAATAGCTGATGGTGCGCGGCGCAATGGCTGTGTGGTGGCCATGTATGCGAAAGTGCCACGAACTGCCGTCGTGGACACAGGGAGGAGATCTCAGGTAGGCGGCATGGGTTTTTGAAATAGATTAACTCGCAAGTGTACTGATCTCGAGCAACGTTGTAATCGTATCGTGCCGTGTATTGTTTGGCAACTGAAACGCTCCCATGGTATGGATGCACGCAGACTACAGGTCTTGAGTGTGACTAGCATTAGAAGGCGTGAAGACTTCGTTGTCTGACGAGCGTTTCAAAACCGGGGCTCGGATTACGCCTGGACTCGAAAAGAAGTGGGCCTATGGTTCTCCAGCATTGCTATTTTGATGAGAGGCGACTGAGTGAAGTTCGAACAGGTTGCAGGGATTGCATCAGGGAGTCTAACTCGTACGCCTGGTGTATGATCATATTTACGCCTTACACAGGTGACACCCAGTTCAAAATTTTACATTTTCCGCAAGTGTTCATGTTTTTTTTTCTCTGAGAACCGTAGTCAAACTCTGCCGGGCAGTCTCGTCAAAAGCAAGAGGAAGTCGCACGCGCAAAATTACCGCACTATACACAGCTAGGCAAGAATGCGGGGATCTGACGACGCGCGTGGGCCAAGCCGATGAAGATGGGGCTACCGTGTCGTAGTGCCAGGTCCAGCTGGCCCCCTGCACGCCGGCCCCACTCCGTTCGTCACCCGCTGAGTCGCCCGGTCCCTCTTCTGACAACGTCAACCCGCTCGGTCCAGCCCGTCACAAATGTCCTGCTTTCTCCCGTTCAATTGTAAAGCTCCCAGAAATCACAGCGATCTATCCGGAGCTCCCAGAAATCACAGCGACCTATCCGGGCAAACAGTGCTCGTGACAATCCCGTCTTTTAGGCCCTCTGCCTTTCCGTCGGACACCATCCCGTGCTGCCGCACTGGACAGCGTTCGGTCCGGTCCCACCCGGTTAGACTTGGCTGTCCACGCCAGGTCCTGCTCCGCGTGTTTTGCTTTCGTCCAAGACCGCCAGCCACCCCCGGCCCGGACCCTGTGTTTTGCTTCGTCCAAGACTCCCAGCCTCCGCCCGGCCCGGGTCAGCGTTCACGGTGCCTGGGACGTTCCAGGGCTTCGAGGACTGTCTGCTGCTGGACGAGCTCATGACGAAACACCACATGGACCTGGACCGCGTGCTGCCAGAGTACACCGAGCTCAGGAACCCGGACGCAGAGGCCATCTGCGACCTGGCTATGTACAACTATGTGGAGGTACGCCGGGCGGTGGTGAGCGGGGTACGGGGTAGTGGTGACGTTAAACGAGCGACGGATGGAGGTACGCCGGGCGGTGGTGAGCGGGGTACGGGGTAGTGGTGACGTTAAACGAGCGACGGATGGAGGTACGCCGGGCGGTGGTCAGCGGGGTAAGGGTGGTGGTGACGTCAAACGAGCGACCGACAGAGGTACGCCGGGCGGTGGTCAGCGGGGTAAGGGTGGTGGTGACGTCAAACGAGCGACGGACAGGGGCAGTGTCCACTGCTATGGTTACAGCCAATCTGCTTATAATCAAAAGCGTTCAAGAGGCCGCAGTGTAGTCACAATTGGGCAATCGAAAAGCCAGATGCGCACAAGTTAGCGCTCTGGCTTACGCTTAGTTTAAATGTGGAATGGTGTGGTTTTGGTTGTGACAGGAGGATACGGGAGCCTCACGTCCTTTTTCGCTATGGGTAGGAAGCGTCTGTCCCCGCTTTCTTCGCAGAGGTAAAAAAGTTATGATGGTTACGGCGCTGTGAATGTCAGTTCGTTAAGAGATCAAGGATATGTTCAGGGAGCTGCAGTCAAAATGGTCATGACAAGGGACCGGTACATTTTGGCTTCCAGAGTGTGTTAAACCACGAATCGAACTATAATTCAACATGCATAGAAAGCGCGTCAGTGAGAACGAGGGTTAAGTATATCATTCAATGACTGAATCTTTCGGACGTCTGCAATATCGGTATAAAACTGCGTCTGACAGCCGGTGGCGGGGCAGGGTGGCCATATCTTGACATCGCCTCTGCCAATACGACCCTTCCGGCCACCGGTGAGGTCTCGTGGTTGCGTCCGTACCCGGCACTAAATAGCCGGAGGATATGAACAGGCCAGGCCATTATGCCAACGCTCTCGGGTGGTCACGACTGGGACGGCGGTTGGAACTGCTTCAGGCATGCGTGTTTGTACCCAGCAGGCATATATTAATGTTCAATGACGACAGCCGTCCATGAATTACCAGTTTCCATGAATAGTTCATGGCTAGAGTTTCACATGCGGCCGTTGAAATAATGATCAGGACCGATGTCGTTGCTTTGGTCGATTGTAGAAAATGGGCAAACAACCAGGGCCCTGCAAAAATTATGCCGTCCCCAGTATGGTGCGATCAAAGGTTTAGCAAAGATATACTAAACCTTTTATCAATATGAAATCGCAGGTAGTCAGACGGTCAGTCTTGCCACCGTGGTCTAGAAGACCGTTGACCGAAGTGAGCGAAATAGTTCATCAGCCTGGTGCCTCTTTTTTGGATGATGTGTGGAAAAAGCCTGCTCGGATGTAAATGCTCGGCAGTCCTGAAGGTTTGACCATTAAAATGTCAATGGATTTTAGCGGACCAAGCTCACGTGCCGCACGTAGCAGTAATGTGAATGACGTGCGAAGACATTTGATATAAAACACGGCCTGGTGTCCGCTAATATAAAAAACATGGACGTAATTATAAGGCAAACCCGGCATTGTCCGGGCTCCCCAGGGGCACATCACTGACCGGAGGGGGCAGATTTGACCCCCTCGCTTATCTCAAGATCGGCTGGGCCAAATCAAAAATTCAGATCGCGATCGATAGCGGCGTTGCTTGCGGTCTCGAATTCTTAAAATTTTACTTTTGGAATATCTAACCGTTGTCACAATGTGTTTCATTAAGAAGTGTATCTCATGGCGTGAAATCACTGCGCCCTGATCAAGGATGCCACATAGAAAGGTATCGAATGTTACGCGCGCCGCACCAGGCCTGGAGTTAAGGTCTTGTTCCTTGCAAATGAAGGCTGAAACCTTGATCTATTTATGTATATACATATACACACACACACACACACACACACACACACACACACACACACACACACACACACACACACACACACACACACACACACACACACACACACACACACACACACACACACACACACACACACACACACACACACACACACACACCACACACACACACACACACACACACACACACACACACACACACACACACACACACACACACACACACACACACACACACACACACACACACACACACACACACACACACACACACACCACACACACCACACACACACACACACACACACACACACACACACACACACACACACACACACCACACACACACACACACACACACACACACATATATATATATATATATATAAAGATCAACAACATATATTTACATATCGATTTATGTATATTATTTGAAACATCTGAACACGAAGTGAGAGAGCTTAGCCGCAATTATGGATGTCAGACACGTGAGCAACAGCTGTTACCTGTTCTTAAAGTGTCTAAGGGCACGGTCAAATGGATGACCTCGCTGATGAATAAGGGGTTGGGTCGATATTCGCGCTGTTTTGGGCAAGCTGGACCTGCCGATTATGGATTAGCACAAGACGTAAACCTAATTAGTTTATAAGTACTAAAAAAATCGTGGCGGTATCTCAAGACGTTTTTGAATTATTGCGAATATTGGACAGGGGATAGACTTGACACCACCCCAGTCAATGCTGGGTTAACTTACAACTTAAGATAACCTCACACAAAATAGCAAGCACGTCAAGTATCAGCACCAAACGTTTCTGTGCAACTTCAAGCTTTGGTTAAGACCGTCAGAATTGCATCAACAGGCCAAAATTAACAGACCATAAAATTATCAATGTTGGTACCTTACAGCACGTCTGTTGACAATGACAACACAAGACATTTTCGAGATAACTCCCTGCAATTTACATCTATGCCCTTTTTAAAACTTCAAGTTCTTTGGTTTCTTAGCTAAGCGCACCCAACCTTGTGTAGAATATTTCGTGCCGCCTAATTTTAAGTTACCTAGAGATGCATGACGCCATGAAACGTCAGAAGCATTATCCCTCCTCAATTGCCATGCTGTGTTCAAGGTCAATAAAAATGAATGTGTTAATTTAATTAGTTGTAATATAAATATGCAATATTATAACTAACATATTATATAAAACATATAGCATTATGACTAAAATAAAAATGTGACCATTTTTGTTTGGGGTATGTCTGTACAAATCGTGGCATCAACGGAGAGCAGTCAGCTTTCAACCAGCATTAGACGCGGATCGCAAGCTTCGAACAAAACCACGTTTTGTGACACATGTATTTGGGTAGTGCTACTAGTTATAACGAAAATGTGACTGGGAATCAAATAACTTAATGATGCCATCGTAACTAAGACTGCGAATGCGAGTATGCATTGCACGAAAGTGGAAAGTATGCAGGAACATCCCGTAAGAGATCCAAGACACGCGCACATATGGGGTGAACACAGGATCAACAAAGAAAGGGAATGAAGAAACAGAGCCGATAGAGTTTCGTTTCGTACAATAGGCCTATTCTGAGCTTAATAAACGCGATTTAGTCTTTGAATGTCGATGACCTTGCATGAAAACAATGATTTCATACTAAAAGTGTCTAAAACTTTTGCAATCGTGGCGATTCTGGAAAAGTACTTCGTGTATAGGTCTAAAAATCGGTGCTGAAATCGTCACCCCCCGTGTTAGCCACAAGGCCGACCCCGGCGACCTATGGAGATTGAGATTTGTATAATGCGATGCGTGCATGTTCGACACGTGTGGTAGTTTTTCACCGTTCTGACTGAAGCAAATCCACACACAAACATTATTTGATGATTGTATGCTAGTTGTGACCGAGGCGTCGCCTTCAGCCGGCCAAGCGTGCGCAGGTAACTAACTTGAATTGGGTTTTGGATTGAACTGAATTTGGACGTTGGATTTGGATGGACCGAACAGGAACCGTTCAAAAATAATTTAAGCAGCTTAGGACTCAACCATTTACCCTCCCAACCTCTTGACGTGACCCCACGGGGGGCGAGTTTATCCGTCTTTTCGAGATCTCAGAATAAAAACGCAAAATCGGAATGACCGAGGCAGACACTAAGGACCCCGTTATCGACAACGAACTTTGGTATTTTATCTCATCAGAATACAGGACTTCACTGCAGACAGAGAGGCATAAGAAACTATTCGGGTACTCGGTTTGGTCATGGGATCATAGCTGCCGAGATATGAATCGGGGAAAATTCAAAAGTAGGATGGCCGTTACCAGGCTTTCCAGGACAGATCGACCACAGGCTGGTCTTGCCCACGTCCAAACGGCAGACGGTTGGCACGCCGGCGACGCGCGAGTAGAATGCTTGCGCTGTCCATTACAGCACGCTGGCTCGGAACAAGGCGCACGCCTCATCCGCAAGCCCGGAGCGCGAGTAGAATGCTTGCGGTGTCCATTACAGCACGCTGGCTCGGAACAAGGCGCACGCCTCATCCGCAAGCCCGGAGCGCGAGTAGAATGCTTGCGCTGTCCATTACAGCACGCTGGCTCGGAACAAGGCGCACGCCTCATCCGCAAGCCCGGAGCGCGAGTAGAATGCTTGCGGTGTCCACTACAGCACGCTGGTTCGGAACAAGGCGCACGCCTCGTCCCCAAGCCCGGAGCGCGAGTAGAATGCTTGCGGTGTCCACTACAGCACGCTGGTTCGGAACAAGGCGCACGCCTCGTCCCCAAGCCCGGAGCGCGCGTAGAATGCTTGCGGTGTCCACTACAGCACGCTGGTTCGGAACAAGGCGCATGTCTCGTCCCCAAGCCCGGAGCGCGCCGGCGCCGCAGCAGCGTCAACAGTGCGTAGAAGTCCGGATGTCTGAAGTGAGGGTACTGTGCTGCGGAATGTTTGTTTTCAGAATCAGCCATGTGGTGTTTAAGGCCACGCTTTAAAAGATACAGCGGCACACACATAACCGCGCACGGTACGCATACTTGTATCACGTTTGTATATGCATGAGCCTTCGAGCCCATAGCAATTGAGCCCGCATTTGTAACATGCTTGGGGACATATTCATGGCGCCAACGCTGATAGTTAAGCCGGAGTGAAAACGGATTGTCACGCAGATCTCGGCGGCCCCATTATGCGTACCTTGCTCAGGAAACTAAGCGTTTTGATGCGTCCAATACGCCCTCCTTGTACGCGTGTGAAAATGCCCCCCCCCCCCCCCCATCTGAAGAAGCATACATTACATTTAATTAGCATACACTCGCGATGGATACTTGCGCGTGCGATGCCATGGATGGGGCAGGTTTGGGACGCGCTTCCCCAACTTTCTGTAGCTTTCTTATTACGTCAGTGCTGCCACGCAACAAGAGCGAACCTAGAATACCCTGCCCGAACCATCAGCCCTTGGAACCCACATGGTCTCATGCCAACAGCATAATTACGAATGTTTGCATAGTAGCACGTGGCCTGCAGGAAGACTACTGTTGCCTGGAGATCTGTTCTATGTCAGGCCGTGACAAGCAGGCTCCAACTCAGGCGCCGTCTTTGCACTCAGTTGGATCTTCGCGAGCTGTCGGCTACAAACTGCAGTTACCAATTACCCAAACGCGCCATCGTGAGTCCTACGGTGCTGGAGGCGTGGATGCCGACGTATGTTCGTCGTGGAAACCGGGCAAAAAGGAGGCTGTGGACGTCGGCATGCCTGTGTCGTGGAGATCGGACCAGTGACTTCACGAGGTGGTGGCATTGGTGTCAAATGCTCGATGAGATATATATGGGGGCCAACGAGTGCACACAGCCCATGTCGTGACGTGTCCGTGCGCACGTGTGTGCCGCAGATGCGTGACCTCGTCAACTCGCGGACGTTTCTGCTGAGGAAGATGCTGGACAACCTGCTGCACGCCTTCTTCCCCAACAGCTGGATGCCGCTTTACGGCATGGTGTCCTTCAGTCGCGTGCGCTACCACAGGGCCATCGAGCACAAGAGGCGCCAGGACAAGGTGGGTGGAGGCCGACGTGCTAAACCACTCTCAAAGTTCCAGGTTTTGTGGAAAATGACGCGGTTTAGGGCAATTTCCGACTCTCAATTTAAGAATCTTTGCACTCTCAGCCTCCCATTCATGGATATGTGTAATCTTACGCTGACACTGCGCTCCCTCCGGGTTTAGCGGAGACAAATCGGCCTGGATGGCACTTTTTGCTGAGGCCATTGTGACGCACCGTGTTAATACGGGGCGCGGGTCGCAGGAGAGATTAGATCGGCCTTATTTCAGTGCGGGCTGTGGAGAGACTGGTGCATTGTGGCCGAGTGTGTCTTGTGTAGAGGGTTATGCTGTGTCTTGAATCGTGATCGTTCTAAAGAATTGTCTTTTAGTCTTAAGTCTTTAGTATTAAAAAGTATTTTACCGTGATCGTTCTGTCATTTAATCACGTTGGAGAAAAAAATTTCAAGCTGGTTGACAAGTTTGGTTGAGCAAGATTAAGCAAGTTTGGTTGATGTCGGCTGTATGGACGACTATAGCACTTTTGTGGACCCCGTAATAATTGGTTGACGAGTCGCCGCCTCTTTGGCCTCCGCTAGCCAGTTGAGAGAAGGCTGCCTGGCGAGATGACTGTATCACTGCGTCGTGAGTGGCTGCCACCGCGTGACTGGGTGTCACTCGGCATCCGCCCGGACAGTGCCGACTGGGTGTCACCCGCTCCCCGGAGCGACATCACCAGAACTGATCACCTGTCACTGATCACCTGTCAGCGGTGTCCCGGGCGCCTGCGTGCAGCTTAGTGCCCGCCGGGTCTCCCTGTGCTGCCAGATGGCCTCTGGAGTTATTGTCGCTGGAGTTTTTGCCTGCTATTTCTTCAGGCGGAAGTTCGCAGGCTGCAGTGGCACGGACTAATTGGGACCGGGGGACATCTTATCTCACGGATGATATTTCTGACTCACGGTGACGAGATCATTGTGCGGGAAACTTGCCGGTTGTAATTGTCTGCCCAGTTACCATTGTGGTATAACACTGCAACGTTAATTAAGCAGTAAAACGGCGGCAAATGATAAGTCACTCCGACTAACACTAGCCTGTGAGGGGCGGTACGGCCCTGGGAAAGTAGCGGGTACCTGCTGGAGTATCACAGCAATTAAGAGCACCCTGACGCCAGCCCGTATGCGCCTTTCAGTCTAGCCGTGGCCTTGTCACCGACGAAAATGCCCGCAAGCGCCGTATATTATATATATATATATATATATATATATATATATATATATATATATATATATATATACGCTGGAGCCGAGGTCAGCTTTGTACGATGTGTGTAGGAACGCAAACTATCGTCTGCGTGTCAGTTCTTCCCCTTTATGTGATAAGTGAGCTTGTTAGGGCTAAGGGTAAAAACGGCGCATTTCAGACTTGCGCTGTTGGAAGTGGAGCCATTCCTGTTTCAGCTCTCAGCATTGCACGAAAGTGTAAGTTCACCGACCCAGCTGATCGTAACGTTGCCCATGAGCATGCATCGTTGCGATCGCTTCTACCTGGTTTGTGCATATTTTAGTGGTGCCCAAATGACGGCATTTTGCGATATTCACGCAGCTCCCACCTGAAGCTACTCTGATGGTTATGTTCATTAAGGATCTTCTCCGGACAACTCGATAGAAGCAGTCTTTAAGGGAGACCTTAATGATATACTTCTCATTGCATTTGAAATTTGGCTCATTGAAACATAGAACACATTCCAGCCTGGCATTGCGTTGCTCAAATGAACGACCCATTGCTTCATCACTTGATCGTGAGACAATCACGGCGATAGATACCGAGCGGTTGCCCTCGTCGCTCCAAGCACTACAAGGCACCCACGCCTCTGGATATGCGTGTTTGTATTCCACATACGGTCTTCGCCGCGGCTGTTTTTCATCGCTGAGGTCGAGCGACCATAGAGCCTGAACCCCAAGACTGGGTCTCGCTGTGTATTTATCCCGCTTCGCATCTGCACTTAGACACTGACTGCACTGAGCACTCTAGACTGCGCGGTTAAGGGGGTGTTGAACTGCTGGCCAAAGAGCCACCGGGGGGGGGGGGGGGAGGTCTACAGCTCTCCATCTGCACGGCACATCGCTCCATGGATGTCGATTTCTCAAAATGACTGAGGGAGCCAGAGACGTGGAAGTCGTCTCCATAAGGGCGTAGATATAAAAAACTTCGCGGAGTCGGTTCTTTTATGTCCTGACTATACATTATATCATCTGCCACTATAAAATGACGCCACATTATATAATCCACCACTAAATACATACATACATATATATATATATATATATATATATATATATATATAGTGGCGGATTTAGAGCGGGCACGGGTCATGGCTCACCTTGGGTCACAAAGGGGCCCAAAGCTGATCGAACAGATGCAGATTTTTAACACAAAACGCACCAAGATTTGGCGTCTTTGGGCTTCTAGGCGACCAAGAGCAGTCGCAAGCGAAAGTGAAGGACCCGCGAGTAAGACAAAAATAATTCTTCACCATATGATCTATACCTATATAACCTATATGACCACTGCAAGGTCATTCCGATCGTCAAGGAGGCTTCCATATTGCATTTGATTTATTTGCATTTGGCCCTGCGCTGTTGCTGGACCCTTCCTACTAGCGTGTCGGGGCGCCCTGGTCAGCCAGTGGCTTTCCGCAATTCAACTGACTGTAGCTAGACAATATTTGGCATGGCTACGGCGCGCCGTTCGAAAACCATTCTGGAAAAACCTTCGGGGGCTCAAATTGACCCCTACCCGAGCGCGTGTTAAGGCCAGTGAGCATATCGGTTCGGTCCAGACCCGAGACGTCGCAGGTACGGAGAAAAGTGAGAACCGTTAATCAGCGACCGTATCACAACCATAAATGGCACGCAGTAAACCCCGTACACTATCTCATGACATACTGGGGCAGTACCAGTGCAGGAGAAAGAGCTCTTACAGGGTTTAATCCATTCATACAAATCCCTCGCACCGCTTTGCTATCAGTTGTGCACTCTGTTTGATGTTGCAAACTGCGTTACCTTACGTTCAGAATAAGTATGTCGTTTTATATCACAGCTATGGCCTATGGCTATAAGTGCAATGTCTGACGTAAAATTTCATAGTTTTCCACAATACCCAAAGTTCAGGCCTCTAGCATTAACAATCCGTTACAAAGTTTGGCCGCCGACCCGGAATTTGACGATCGGATGGTGAAGTCCGCGCTGCCCCACTCTGCCGCTGGTGCTCACCCTAGAGATGCATGCAATCAAAGGTTCGAACCAAATTCAAAATAACAGTCGTGGCCGCCCCCATCATAACGCATTACAATCGGTACATAACGTGACAACTGAGGAAGCAGTCCTCATACCACAAACGTGAAGGACGGTATATTTGTCGTTTGAACCCTGTTCATGTGAACGTAGTTGTTCTAACATATCTGTTCTCCCTGCGAGAACATGTTCTAGAAACACTGAGTGAGGTCTCCCGATTGTGCAGCAAGTTCTCGGTTTAACAATACAAGAATATCAGGTCCGTAACGAAACGGCAGAAAGTTGGAACAAAAAGGCCGTGTGAAACTATCGTACAAAAGTTAGCAATGTCTTGCCGGGGCAAAACAAGATGAAAAGCAATCGCGATCATCAGTAATCTCACATTTGCCAGATCGTGACTCTTACAGAACATGTTTCTTTGAGGACAAAAGTGTGGATCCTGTCAACACCACCTCAGAGCGCCACATCTGTACCGCTATCTGATATCCTTCTGAGCTGCACTGAGGCGATTTCACGGGGTCACGAGGAGTCGCTCCAGCAGGCTGGTGCGATACCGCACACGCCATGTTTGCCGTGTCACCCGATCGTGTTTTCTGGATAAGTGTCTGATCTTTTCCCTGGCATGCATGTGAGCTTAAGACTGCCGACGAGTGGCTTTCCATTCGCCCCTGACATTTACTGTCGCTCGTGATCACAAGAACCACTGTCCCGCCCCTGAACTTTACTGTCGACCCTGATCACAAGCCCGCGGTCCCGCCCCCGAACTTGACTGTCGCCTTTGATTACAACAACCACGTCTACATGGACAAGCCGGCTTACTGTTAAAAGCTCCGGGCCGCCTTCAGACTTTTGGGGGTCTGCAGCGGGTTCAAGTGTTGTGCACCTTGGACTGTCAGGGGGCCAGGTTGATCATCTTTTGCTGTCATGGTTTGACGGATGTGGAATATTTGATGATATCCACTGATATCCACTATTGCTTGATCTGTCTTGCCATTGAAATTGCGGTTGTCGACGTCCTGCAGCGTCAGTGTAACGCCTGGCACCGCCTTGGGGCCAGCCACGATTCTTACGACTAGTAATAAACCCAGTTACTTTTGAAATCATATTGCCTAGGATGTGATGTGAGTCATGGCTGAAAAATATCTGAAAAGCACTGATCTGAGGGTCATTGAAAGAGCACTGTGTCACCTGTGATCTGTGACATCCGCCCTGATATAATATTTTTACAGTGTATGTCTGGAAAACAACTAAAACTCTATCCTGAACTCCTAAAAGCTATCCTGATTAAAGCTATTGTTTGGCGTCATTTTGTGACTCAACTTGCTCATACAGCAAAACGTCGATGTTTCCTCATGCGCTCTACACAAGCTCACGCTGCAAACGTTGGCAAACACCGACCAAGTGTAAGCTGTGGGTGTCGTCTAACTGAAATGGTATTTGTAACTTGTTACCATTTTTGCAAGCTTACCACCAAATAGGTCGCAGAAGCTTCTTTCTTTGTCACCGATCATATCCAGTAAATCGGTAGCTTTTTCAACTCCGCTGCTCGGGCTGGTGGCGAATACAGAAGGGAGGAGGCATAGGGACAGCCCCCCCCCCCGCCCCTCTGACCCGGGGGACACATCGGTTCCGAAGGGACCCATAACCGGCCAAACTGACACATTCATTCAACACAACCAGAACAGAATCAGACGTCTCTGGGCCCGTATATGGCGAAGAACATTT